ATATATATATATATATACAATATTGAAGGCATTACAGTTACACTCTTTTATGTCCTCCTGTTAAAAAAAATGAAAAGATATTTATGAAGTTACATGTTGTCTTTGTTGTGAGTTTCAATAAACTAATATTGAAGGATAATTGTAAGATTTATGCCCTCAAACAGTCAGCCATTCTGATGTAAAATAGCTGAAATCCAATTTTGTTAGATATTTCACAACATGTGTATCTTAATTTCATATATTTCTAAGACTGAACATATTCATAGTATGAAACCCCTAAAATACTAATGAGAAAAAAATATATATAAATAGACTTGATTAATGAGCTACCTAGTGGTTTATATATGCCCACTGGAAGCTATGAGCACTTGTAAAAATATGTTTTTGTAAATACTTTTTCAAATGAAATAAGTTTTCTAATACATATAGCAGTTTTGTCATGTTCAGCTGATCATCCATTCAAGTATTTCAAAGATAAAGCAAATAACACTTGTCCTACAAAGATGTAAAATACAAAATGGATAATGATGTACATAATTCCATCAAAGAAGGACCACACACAGTTGCTTTGTTATACCAATATCTTTACCAAATTATACTAAGTATAATGATAAACACTTACTCTATTAAGATGATGTATGATCATAGGAATTAGGTCAGCATCTATTACTGCTTGCACTTGCTGTTGATTTCCAGCTGTGATGTTTGACAAAAACCAAACAGCTTCCTGTGAAAAATAGTCATATTTTAAAATTCACACACATTCCTGTAAGAGAGATTGATATACTGTTTAGCATGTTAAAATATAAGCATGAGAAACTTTAACATTTTTTGTAACTTGTAATTTTTGTTGTATCTAGACATATGCATTTCATTAAAAACTTTATACTAAAAACATTACAAACCATACTTGCAGTATATTAACAATTAAATTATTTTCCACAACATATACAAAAATTGTTTTAAGGAGAAACATATTTTAGTGTTTCAATGAAATGATCTTAAAAACAACCTCGTGGTCACTTCACAGAAATTTGTCCATTTTCACTACCTAGAGAGCAATTTATATATATTTTCTATTTTTTTAAGACTTATTATGTTGTAGCTGCATTTGTTTGTTATTCTTGTAACAGTTAACACATTTTACTGACTAACATATTTAAAAACTTTGGGAACAATCCAGGTAGGTAACAAACAGCAATAAAGAAAAATGCTGATAGGTTTTACTGTTAAGTCTTAAAACTTATCTGCACTTTTACAAGAACCAGGATTCAACATTAACAATTGTTTGCTTGTCCAAGAAAGGTAAAAATTATCCAAAAATGAAATTGAACTCATTTTCATTAGTCACATTTATCCAGGAGTGCCACCATTTCTGTTTGGCCAATGCTCTGGAAGCTGGCCAAATTCAGATTTGACTTAGTAAGTCAGTTTTGATGTTCATGCTCTTTATCACTATTCATTCAATAATAATTTTTCCATCATATCAAACATACTATTGTCTATACCAAAAATAAAATAACAAATAAATGGCAACCTGTAAAGACAAGGAACAATTATTATGGGAAAATAAACTTCAATTTACAATTGATGAACAAAAAGAATTTCAAGAGGCTGTATTTTCAATCTTCGTTTTATTTTATGGGAATTTTTATTTTGTTTTATCCAATAAATATTTAAATTTATTATGATTATATTAATTAATGATATAAAATAAGTGAAATGACCACATACAAATTAAAACATTAACAATACCAGCTGATGTATGCACAGTACCATATAAAAGTTTATTAACAATATATTTAATATATTTTAACACTATACACATATACGAATACGAGGCGATATTTTTTCATGAACCTTTTATTTTTGTTACAGCCATTAACTTTATCATATTTCTTTCTGTTCATTGCTTTTTTTTTTTGGGGGGGGGGGTTTCTCTCTCCTTTATATATATAAAAAAACCAGAGCTATAGTGATTGACAGTTGACAGGTGAAGAAATACTATTCATTCTGAAAAAAATAGTACTTTCACAAAAGAGAACAACTTGATTACCAAAGACAGTGACTTGAAACAAAAAAGAAAAAAAGAAAAAGAGGCCAATTTTTGCTGCAGCAAGTAATGAACAACATAGGCACTACAATCAATAATGGCAAATGATGCAGGTAAATTATCGGGGATTTCATTGAGAAAACTTAACATTTATAAAAGTGATCTATACTGCTTACTGAAATATTTTCAAAGGTACAGAAATGTTTAAAAGAGGGTCAATACATTTTATTGAGAAGTCTTGCCTATAAATTCTCACTTATACAGTCACACTAGTTTATTTTCTTCCAGTCATCACTTCAATTTTGCATAATTTATACTCATGAAGGAACATTCAACAAATAATGAAAGATTACTGGATAACACTTGTTCACACTAGTTGCCATTCCCTTTATTTCCAGCTCAACAATAAATGACATCATACTAAACTCATGCATTTTCTTCTTCTAATTTTGTAATTGGTCAGAATTGAAATTCTTACTTACATAAACTACAGACTGCAACAATTATAGGAAACTACTGAGAATATTATGAACTATTATGTTAATAAAAACAAACTTTGATCCCTAATGAAATGGAACAGATAAACTGCACTTGTTTCTAGGCAAAAATGCAAAATAATCCACATGTGGTTTTGAGAAGAAACAAAATAGTGTACCCCTGGTTTGAAAAAGCAAAAGTTACAATTTGAGCTGGTAAAAATGAACCCTTACCTGTCCTACATGACAGGGGAGTTTCAAACTTAATCTCAAGTCCTATGTACTGTGATACATTACATTGATCTCTAAAGTTAATTTCATGTACATTTTCTAACTTTAAATAAAATATCCTATAGTTGGATCTATTGATCAAAACACTACAACTCAAAACAAGTTAACTTTAATATTACAATTCTATAAATGAAACACTGAAGTTAAATGAATTAAGAATACTTACTTTATTGATCTTTTCCTTAGGATGTGTAAGAAGTTCAGGAAAATAGGAAAGGGCATCATAGTTAAGCACTACTTGTGTTTGTTCATCTGTACCAGTAACAATGTTTCCCACTGCTCGTAGAGCTGCTGTCTAAACATAAGACATTTTTTTTTAAACAAAATATTAGTTTCTAAATTACTCTTTCATGATAGTGATAATTAATCTCTTTAGATCTCTCACAGGTTTGATTGAATTAATTGTTTTTTCTCTGGTTTCCACTTCTTGAGTAGCTTACAAATGTTGCACAGAGTGAAATAAATGGATGAATGACAAAAATCAGTTTTTGTGATTATCCTTTGATCAAAGGGTTTTAATGACTTCAAATTTATACAGTAATTAAGTTATTCATACGTATGGCAGCAGTAACTGGCACTATCACCAACATATAATCAAGATATAATACATGGTTGTATACTAACAGATAAAGTATTTTCTGTATCAGTACATTTTCCAATTTGTGAAAGTTCATACTGATAAGTCATGAAAAAAAAGTCCTTATAAGACTCAAAAGGTAAAATATCAGAATATCTGTCTTCAGATTATATCCCATAAAAGATTTATCTCTTACTCTGCTATATTTAAGATTAAATTTTAACCTTATCATGACTGGCTGGCTTCTTTCAGGAATGAAATATCTACATTTACGATAGATTTCAAAAGTTAAAATTTTCTTACACTAAAAATGCATTTTACTTACTTTCTCTAAACCAAAGCCATCTCGATCCTGGTCTGCCCCCAAGCATTGCTAAAAAAAATTTTGCTAACAGCACAGCAGTCTTTTAAACACCTTCATTTTTGTGCCATTTCAGAACGTGCTGATCATGTGACTACCCTCCATAAAACATACTGTGCCATCTATACTACTGCAGCTAGCTTCCTCTACTATTCTAGCACAATCCTCACACTTGAAAGTTGGCAGGTACAAACTATAAACACCGGCATATCAGTGAGGAAGAAGGGTGGGAGGAAGTAAGTACCCATCGGAAATATATTTTCAGGGTAAGAAAATGTTAACTTCTAAAATGGTACTACCTCCTCTCATCCAAAGCTAGAATCTAACATTGCAAAGATGGAGGGCCAGTGAAAGTGCAACAGTATTCAATCAAGTGAAGAGCAACCACCTTGAAAGAATGGGTGTGCCATAATAAGATAAGAAAGCAGACCTGTGGGGTATAGTACTACTTCTAGAACAGGTATGCTCTTTGCCAAGTAATGAACACAGTAAGACATATAAGGTGGAATGTAATAGGCAGGCACCATAGTGTCAATCAAGATATGCAAAGCACCATTCTGTGGAGAAGTGCTGTATACCTATGACTTGAAACAGCACAGCATAGACAAAAACAAAATGTTTAGTATGTAATTGACAATAGGCCCAAACAAATGTATGCCAAGGGTAGAAACTTGGGATGCACCAGAGCATGTCAGTTGCTGCCAACCAGGCAAAACATTCAGTGGAAACATCTTGTATAGGATAATGTGAACAACAAGAGCAATCCTTCCCTTAAAAAGAAATCCAGAGAAAACACATTGAATAAGTAATTTGATGAAAAATTGCCAGGTAATTCAGAATCAGCCCATTGTCAATAGTTTGTGCATAATTTGTCCACATATGTAGCAAGCATTAGCATAAAACATACTGATAGTTAGTCATAGTAAAGTGCCTGATAATATGAAATAAGTATACATGGCTAGGGCTAAAAGACTGTAAACTGTATATGAATAGGCCAAGTGCGATCTTCCTGGGCAAAAACATTCAGGGGAAACACCATAAGTTACGTCAGATTATGGCAAGTGCGGTCCATCCAGTAGAAGCACCTGCATAAGTTTGTAAGATCAACAAGTGCTGCCACCCTGGCTAAAAACACCTAAGGGAAATGTTTTGGATATATAATATTATGGCCAAGTGTGGTCTGCCTGGACAAAAACATCCAGGGAAAGCACCTTGGGATACATCAGATTATGCCAAGTGGTGTCCATCTGGGCAGAAAACTTCCAGTGGAAGCATTTTGCATAAAAGATAGAGATTAGCAAGTGCAATTCACCTTGGCAAAACACAGGGGGAAAGTGCCTTGGCTATGCAGGATAGGTCAAATGTGGTCAATCTGGTCAAAGACATCCAAGGGAAGCACCTTGGGATACTATTTAATATGTCAAGTGTGGTCCATCCAGACAGAAAACATCCAGTGGAAGTGCCTTACATAAGAAAGTTAATTTGTGATCAACAAGTGCAGTCAGTCTGGGCAGAAAACAACCAGAGGAAGCTCCTTGGGTCCAGAATATTATGTTATTGCTTAATCAATAAGTATAATGGTGATAGCCCTCTTCTCAATGAGTGGGTGCATATGGGCTATAAAATTTTATTGTACAAACCCTACTCCATGACCTACCACTCCAGCAATTGGAACTGGCAAGAACTCCTGTACTCCACTAGAAGAAATTGAGGGGGGGGGGGAGATGCACATTGGGGAGTCCAGCGGATCAACAAGCTGGAGACAGTGCAATGGGTGTCTGTAATTCCCTATTTTGAAAAGCAGAAAGACCCCAATTGTAAGAATCAAGGGTCAGAAACACCCCATCTCAACAGTGAGCATTACAGAAGTATACAGTGCATGTTTTCATATAGCAAAGTCACATCGGGCTGTCTGTTGTGTCCACCGAGTGGAATCAAACCCCTGATTTTTGTGTTATAAACCCGCAGACTTACCACTGTCCCACCAGAAGTACACAGATTTAGTGTTAATATAATAACAAGCATACCTGATCAGGCAACACCCACCATTGGTGGAATCCTAAAATATGACGTACATCAACGAAATAAGTTAAAAAATAATCATATGTTGACTCATCCCAGTCAAATGCAAACAGATGTGTGTAGAAATGCCACAGAAGGAAGACACAGCTGGGTTGTGCAGATAATGTGCGACAAATGTATTGGGAGTTGTCCACATACCAGCCTGAACAATCTCTTCCATAGGACAATGATTACAAGCAGCTAAAGACATAGTTAGATGACAAACTTGGTAAGAAGAAATATTATGTAGATGGGGACATTCCATGGAAACGTCAGAATATGCCAGTCTTATGAGTTGAAAAACCCAACCAGTGAATGTAATAGGCAATAGATCATGGGAAACAGAAGAATTCCATTGAACAAATAGACAGGAACAAGAAGCGCAAAAGGAGACAGTACCAGTCATATAACATGGCAGGGAACAAACCAGACAAAGTAGTCGATCCAGTTCTGAATGAGAGTACAAGTGGGAAATGGAAGGTAAAGAAATAGGAGAAAAGGCTAAACAACCTTCTTGGGCAGCCAATGTCCTGGGAAGAAAGACCCAATCCAGATAGAGGATAACATATGAGAAATGGTAAAGAATGAGAGAAACATTAATGTCGTAAATATCGGAATGACGACGACAGCATGCCAGAAGGGGGAGGAAATAGGTCTTGATGTTCTTTTCATCCTTAAAAATATTTTGAGTGAAATTATATCTGTTTGAAAGCTACAGGAACTTTTTGCTATGATAATATATCAAGTAAGTTTAACTAGGTTTAGCATATACAGTAAGCAATGGCCAACTATTTGGAAGACTTTAAGTTCAAACTATATATGTATAATGACTTATTATTTATTGAAAACTAACTATATTATTTATTAGATATAAATTGATCTGAGCCAAGAAGCCATTTTGAAAGATGAGGTCCTAGGCTACTAATAAATATTTCTTAAGTTTTTCTGTATTTATAATCTACAGCCTAAACTGATGACAGTTTTAATCAACAAAACACAGTACAAAAAAAGTATGTTTGTTGACGGCACTCGACTGCAGTGTAATCATATGTTTATTAGAGTAACAGGTATTTATACAAAAGAATCAATTTACAGTCAGATTCCTACATTAGAATGCATAGTTTCTAATTAACAAATATAACAATGTTAATGAATATCAAACAAGTTGAAACCAAGTGGATACATAAAATGGAAATTACCGATCAGTAACATAATATATTTAAATTATATTTTAAAAGAAACTATTAAATATTTTTCAAATCAATATCTCAATAAAATTTCGGAAATGTTAGTATTTCTGTCATTATTGTAAATCATGTATTAATATTTTAGAGCAGAAAATAGATACTATTTAGAGCGTTTGTGCTAACTTTCATGCAATTTAGTTATTTCCATTAAGAGAAGAGAAAAAAATATATCAGTTCAGAAAGAGTTAATGTTGTATGCTGTGTGCACCAAAAGCTAATTTTATATTATAAAATACAATTGTTATCTAATCATTAGGAAGTTTCTAAAAAGCTAAATGTTTTTATGAATAAACTTTTTATCACTTACTTAAAATACATAAAAGTGACAGCTTTTACTATATAAAAAAAATATATACCCAAGGTCAAAAGCAGGGAAATTTTGTAAATAAATATAATAGTTTACCTGGACTTTGACTTCTTTGTGATTCAAGAGTGGGACTAGCTGACGTACCACCCCAGCATCAATGACCATCTGAAATATATATAGTTTCTTACTAGGCTATAAGGGTAACAAATTACAAATATGTAAAATAGATAAATACACAATACTGTGTAAGGTAACCTACAATGAAATTTAAATCCACACTAATGAAATAATACCAGATTTATATGGAAACTAGTTTCAACATTTTATATGTCCTCTTCAGTCTAGTATTTGTTTGTGGGAGGAACACATACTCTGTATATTTTATAATGGAAGTTTCAATTCCTTGAACAGCATATGACATCTGAATGGAGTTCAACTTAAAATGATCTTCATATATATGTTGAAGTTAGGCAGCCTGTGGATTAACAACTTTCTCAAATTCTTCTGACATAACTTGTAGTTCTATGCGTAAGCTTTGCTAATTAACAGCTTATTTTATGATCAAACTCTCTTAAATGTGAAAAAACAGCATTATTTGTTTTGACCATTTTTAACATTATTTTTGTGTTCTGTGAGTCTGATATTTAAATTTCTACACATTTCACCAACATTAAACTTTCTAATGTATTAAATGATTTTCTTAAATCACTCTGTTCCAAAAAAACTACTAAAAGGTTTTTTTCTAATCTAAAAGAAAAGCTACAAATGAGCTTACTGTCAATATAAATTTTAGAATTATGTACAGAATAATCCAACTTTTTATAATTAAACATCATAAGGTGTGGTTCATCTAAGAACAAGTTTTCATTTTTCAGATCTTTAATGCATCAAAGTTTAACAAAAGATATTGTAGTGAGAAGCAATATTTGAGCCTATCAAATGATTTTGTAGATTTATCATAAATACTAAAATGCCTACTGCCTTTTGAAGTAAAAAATTAAATACCTATTCTTACCTGTATCTGTTCATTACCCCCATCAGTCAAGTATGACAATGCCCATACAGTGTCAACAAGAATCTGAAAATTGAATGTAGAGATTATACTATTTTTCAATACAAAATTCCTTTATTCTATATTCTACTCTACTTTACACTGTGTTATTATTTAACAATAGAAATTATTTTGATTAGAGCACCTAATTCTAAAACTTTTTTTAATATATGCTAACATTTACAGCACTTTGGAAAATTATGCTCCATCCACCTTATGCTTTTCAAGGTAGAAGGGTTTTGGTTGCAATAAAATACTTCTAACTGAATGTAATCACCATCTCCTTTAATAAAATCCTAAAAATAAGGTTTAAGACAAATACCAGAGACAAAGATTGTGTGCAGAAATGTACCTATGCTTATCCTGAACTAAACTTCTACAGAATTCAATGTAAAGAAAGAGGGTTGTGTACTATATTAACCCTTTTCGGCCCAGTATTTCAGGTTTTTAAAACTTTTCAGTGAACTCAAAACTAAGCCTAGAATCAATAATATCTGCATTCATTTGAGGATCATTTTTACCTCAAATACTTCAAAACAATGAATTTGTGAAGTGGATAACTAAAATTCAACTGTCTGCATACTGTTTTTCATTACAATTTGAAGCTGGCAAAATCATATATATATATATTTACCATAGATCCAACTTATTTCCTTGTGTAGTTACACTAGATCGTAAAGTTAAAAAATTTTGTTACTATGTTTCAAGGTACCTTGAGGCTATGCTGGCTTTTTTTCTTTAAGTTAATGAAGATAATATTAAAATTAATTTAATAAGATTCCCTCAGGCAATTACTTTTCTGTTTACAGGAACTCAAGTTTTGTAACTGAAAACCATTGTTCTTGGTTAGAATTATATTCTGGCCTCAGGCTAAGATAAAAATGAAACATCTTTTTTGAACATGTTAGTTATACAAATTAGTAAAAGGATACAGATAAGCTTTAAGTATAAAATAGACACATATCCTTTCTGTCAACCAAATGGCCTAATGCGTGATGTCATCAAGCTCATTACAGTATATGTATGAAAACTGACTTTGTCAACTGTTACTTGGGTCATGCATAATAACACAGTAAATAACTATGTTATGTAATGATTTATTGTATTATAAATCATAAATTGGTCAGAAATATCTAATTTATATTGTAAAAGGTCCCATAGTTACTGTGACACGTGTTCTAAGTGTATCAGATATGATAATTTTTTATGAGTAATTAATTGTTATTGATGAAAGGTAAGAGGTGGTATTATATCTGCTACCAATCTTTAATTCTCTCGACATGGGCTCGGTCCCAGGGACTGACCTCATAACCATTTTTTGCTTGTTATAGTTTTCATGCTATAACTTAATTAGTAAGCATATCTTCACAAAAGTTTGCATATTGTCAGTAAACATCACAAAGCTTTCATATGCAAAATATATATATAATTTTTTTTTTATTATTAAGTTTTAAGATTTTTTAAGTTAATGCTTTTCTCATGCCTCTCTTCTTTTCGAATGTTGAC